TCTCAATAATAAAGAAAGAACTTTGAAATAATGCATTAAAAATGTCACTGAGGGCACTGCTGATGACTAATGAGTGACTTGAAAAGGATGAGTGCAATGTTTAGTCTTATAAGATTATTTACTGACTGCACTTTTACCTTTTATCTATTTTTTGATTAACCTTTTTTGAAATATAAGAATTACTCTGTGTCTGTCACCATGTTTATGAGGTTTTGGTGCTAGAGATTAATGGATGAAGATATAACACAAAAGATTTTTTCTCTTTTCTTATTATATTTTAAAGGGGAAATAAGTCCCTGTTCCCAGTGCTTCATCTATGCTAATGGCAGCCTGCATACTTGCAGTTACTTGCAGGCATCAGTTTTCCTTTTTTATCACAAACTTGGTATCCACAAACTTCTTTTAAACAGAAAATCCAACTATTTCTATGAATAATAACTTGTGCTTAAAATGTGCATTTTTATAATTGCCTTGGTTAAATGTTTAGGTTAATTTAAATTAGATAACAATCTCATATATTTAACAAAATAATTCATAACAAGCCCTTCACGGGAAATAAACAAATTAGGATAGTCAGAAATTGCATGAAGAATTCAATGGTAAGGCAGAACAAACCCACAACTTTGATCCTTCCTCTTGACAGAACTAAGAAAAGCCAGCTTCAAATTTTTCCATAATATCCAGAGAATAAGACACATTTGATATCTCAGCAACAGGCACAAAGTTGGCATTTCAGTGAGAACAAACGACACTGAGCAGGAATGGTATGATTATACCTTTATGGTGAGTAATGAAGCAGTCTCATGCTCATGGAGCGAAACTGGTGACAAAAGTGAGAAGAATGCAACTGGCAAGATCAGGGAGGCAGTGAAGGAGGATATGCACCTCACACACATTAGCTCAATGTCATCCTGGCCTGGATCAGCAATGGTGCGGCCAGCAGGGCTACAGAAGCGATTGTCCCCCTGTACTCAGCACTGGTGAGGCCACACCTCAGATCCTGTGTCCAGCTCTGGGCCCCTCACTGCAGGAAAGACACTGAGGGGCTGGAGGGTGTCCAGAGAACGGCAACAGAGCTGGGGAAGGGTCTGGAGCACAAGTCATGAAGAACAGCTGAGTGAACTGAGGTTATTTGACCTGGAGAAAAGGAGGCTCAGGGGAGACCTTATTGCTCTCTACACCTGCCTGAAAGGAGGCTGTAGAGAAATGGGGGTTGGTCTCTTCTCCAAGGCTGCTGGTGACAGGACAAGAAGAAATACCTTCCCATTGAGCCAGAGGAGATTTAGGCTCGATCTTAGGAAAAGTATCTTCAAAGAAGAGCTGTTCAGACATTGGAATAGCCTGCCTAGGGCAGTGATATAATAACCATCCTGAAAGTATTGAAAAAGCATGCAGATATGGCACTTGAAAGCATGATTTAGAGGTGAACATGGCAGTCTCAGGTTAACAGTTAGCCTCAATGACTTAAGTGGTCATTTCCTACCTCAATGACTCTGTGAGTCTATGTCGTTTAGAGGGAAAAAAAGAGCAGAAAATTGAAAGGGAAAAAAAGAGACATTTCAATGTTTTTGCGGAAGAAAATGTCTCTTGTAACTTATTAGACAAATCTGCTCACTGTGTATAGAATTCTAGTAGAAACTTAGTGAGTAAATTAAGACAAATTTTCATATCTAATGTGGAGATGAATAAAATCTTAGGTAAAATAATTTTAGTAAATACAAAAGCATTTTACAAATCTGAGTTGGTAAAAAGTCAGAAAAAAATGTGCTGTTTACTGTGAGATTATCCAACTTTTATTATAGAATTCAGGCCCTTGAACTCTGTCCCATTTTTACTTTTTTTGTTTAGATCAGTATTTTTCACATCTCTAAAAGTACTGTCTTGCTGCTTCCAGAAACCAGGATTTTATACTTTACATTTTTCTCAATTATTTGGTTCTGAATGGCAGGTACTTTCTTTCCTCTCTTCACTCTGCATATGTCTCTTCCTCTTCAATTTCATCTCCTCTCCTCCCATCTCCTCTCCTGTCAATGTGTGGGCTTCTGCTCTTGCAAAATTGCAATAATTTGATTTATTCACTTCTGCGATGAAAGAGAATTTTTATGAACAGTTACAGTGTCTCAGCTGACACAGAATGGCTTTTTAGCTCCAGCAATTTGTTTGTGGGTCTAAGTCTTTGTATTTCTTTTTAAGCTTTTTTCCAATTTTTTAAAAATCTAGTGAAGTTCATACATTGTAATCTGTCTCTTATTGGAGGTATCAAACCACACACTTTAGGTTTTTCATCATTAGTCTCATTGAAATTATCAGGACAGTTTACATACCTGAGCCTCAACAAGAGCTTTATAAATCTGAGAGAGGTATCAATACCACATTACTTTTCAGTGTCTGAACTGCCACACTGCTCTCTGTCTGCCTCAGTTTCCATGCTTTCATCTTTCTTCCTCTCTCAGGGGACATCTACAAGTCTACACAGCTGTCATAACTACCACTAGACTTGTGCTAACTGATCTGAGATGAAGGATTCTCAGGGATAGAGCTGTGCTTATTACATGCAAGAATATTAGTGTGGGATAGAGGAGAGAAAAAAAGACTAACTCTGTAGGTTGCTCTTCAAGCATTTGTCAGGGATATGCAACACAGAGATTCATGGAGATCCTAGTCCCAGGAAATTTGAGATAAATGCATAAAAGTGATACAATTTGCAGTGGAATCACTGGGAAAAAACTCTCAAATTGCACCAGCATATGTGGGTTTTGCATATACACAGGGAAATTAAATTCAAGTTCTGGCTCATAATCTCTTTCATATGAACAAGTAACACTGCTCCTTGTGAGTGGTGCAGCTGGGGGTTGATCTTATTTTTCATGGATAAAGGAGACTAAAAAGATGTCTTAATGTAATAAAATTAAAACCTTAAATAGATTGATCTTTGTAGCAGACAGGAAAGCACATACCTCTGCTTAGAACAGAGATTTAAGAACCTGTGTCATACTCTAATTTTTTTCATTCTATACCCAGAACATCTGAGTCTTTGCACAGCCTCGTAGTTCTTACCATGAGATCTTCTGTGTGAGAAGTTTGGTCCTATGGATGTCCCCTCTAATCAGGTTATGCAGTGCTGATTTTACCCTGCCTTAATACTTTTTTAAGGAAATACTCCAATGGAATGTAGTTCAACACAGCCTAAGGTACTATACATCAAAAGAACCACTGACCTCTTCAACTGTGCTCCTCTAGTGCTCAGTAAATGTGATGTCATTAAACAGAGCTAAGTTGGAATGTAAAGAAGGGTGAGCAGTGTTGCAGACCTGAATTTGGCCATATGGCACTCTTGGAGACTGCTACCATTGCTCAGCTGATACACAGTAATTAAAGGGAATTTCATTGTGTGTAAATCCCTTAAACGCTTCCTAAATCTCTCTGAAAGATCCTGGCAGAATGATATGTACTACTGTACTGCTTTCCTGCCTCTACAACACTTTTACAATTATAACCAGATTTCTTCTTTGGTTCAGTACTGCCCTTAACATTCTTATTGTTTTCCATAGCCACAAGTCATGATCTGTATTCTCTTCCTGTTGTGAAACATGTCAGAGTATGTGTCTGTCTGATTAACAACATCAGACTCATGTCTTGTCTTTCTACAGTGGAACACACTCCATTGTGAGGATGCAAGGGAATTGAGTTTGTGATGTCTTGTACAACACTGTGAAGATTAATGTACACTGCTGAATCTCTGACTACAGGGGTTCCCACTGGACAACATGATGGGAACAGTAGGATATTTTGTTATCTATGGCCATGACATTATGTCCTAGTTTCACGCACCACAGTACACAGAAGTTGTTCTACTCAGAGAAATTACTTACAGAAAGGATGTAGGTGGAATAGCACAAAGACAAAAATTATTTGATCAAAATGAAGTATCCCATGATTCTTCCTAAGAAAGCGTGTTGTTTGGCAATTACATTAAACAACTTCCCAAAAACTGGCCTCTTGCAGATATGTGCTACTCTGCATGATTCTGAATGTCAGGCGCTCTCAGTGGTTCTCACCTCCACCTAGCCTCCACGCATTCTATAAAATTCTCAATACGGCTACACAATATGGCTGTGTAATATGTTTCTGCTGTGATTCCTGGTATTTGTCATGATCAGACACTAAGCTGGGTTAAAAGGCATTAAGTACAATGCTTGCTCGTATAGTTTCTCTTAGATGTCAGACTGAATCCTTCACACCCTTTTATCTCCCTTGCTCTGCTGTTTTCTTTCTATGGTGAAAGACTTTCCAATGGCTCTACTTTGGTCTTGGTCTTTACTGTCATAGGGCCTTTTAACATGCAGGTTTCCTTTCCACAACTAGAGCCAACAGAGGAGGTTTCATCCTGAAGTTGCTTTAATGATAAAGCAATGTCTTCTCAGCAATTCAGCAGTATTTCAGAAAGGCATCAGAAATTTTAAAAAAATGGCCCATTGAATAGGCTGAATTGGATTTTAGAGCCACTCCTGCTAAATTTCACCTGCCATATATTGGGGGAAGGGTATTATTGATCTAGTTTTGAGTGGAATTTTAGTATTTTAAAATAAAAGTATTTTCCAAGATAAAAATTATTTTGAAACTAATGCATGCAACAGAGCGCAAGATGAATAGAGAGGATTTTTTTTTCCACAAAAGCCCTATAAAGACAATCTTTATGTGTTTGCACACTCAAAACAAAAAGAAAAAAAAAAGGAAAAGAAAAATAAAAAGCCCTGGATGCAGTGTAGTTAGCTCTAGAGTCTCTATCACAGTACCAATTCTGAGCTGTCAGAAGGCTGCTCTATTTTATTCTTTTTTTCTCTCTCTATGTGACACATTTTAGCTTTCTACAAAAAGGGAATAAAGGGGAAGCAGCTCCGGCTAGCCTTGGAAAAGCTATTTAGCTTGCATATTGTGGAACTGTCTTCCCTAGCTAGTTACTGCCATTTTATAACACTGCAGCATATTGGATCAAAGACTAGAACTGCCACCTCCTGTTTACAATGGGCTGGAGCAGTCACAGAATTGTCAGGGCTACTTTCTGTCTCGGTGTGATTGGAAATAAGACAGAAAACGGTAGGTTGCTACCAACAGGTTAATTTCTTCTTTTATTATTTAATTTTTGGCTTTCACCTGCAATGTCAATGCAAGTAAAGCTAAAAATATTTAACCCAGAAGGGCAAGTATCTTTTTTAATCCTTTCGAATATTCTTGAGTACACCTGGGATTACAGGCACAAACATGCATGCAATACTATCGTTTCAGAGATAATTTCAAAGGCAAAACCATTGAGCCAGGGAAAAAAAACCTAAAAATAATCCTTGAAGTGTGTTCTAGATTTTTAATATATGTTATGCTGAGACAAGAGCTGTTAGACTGCATAAACACTATGTCCCAAGACTTAGAAAGATTATTTTTGTAGCTCTGCCAGTACCAAATTTTTGTAAGAGTCATCGGTGATTTTCATTTTGCAGTGACAATATGGTGTTTAAAAATATCAATTGACTGATTAGAATACTTCCTTTTAAAAGTGAAATTGCATTCCACATATCTGGAGGGTGTTATCTGGGGGCTCTGGTAGAATAAGAAGCATTTGGCAGGCAGATTTCTAGTTTATATATCTGATTTACCTTTCCAGCTTTAAGAAACTAATTTTGTTGCTTATACTCATAAAAAAGAGACATAGAGAAGAGAGACAACAGACTGCAATTTTCACACTGGAGTGAAATACAAACTTTTAGATTCCCATCTCCGTGTCTGTTAATTCAGGTACCTTAGCAAGAAGATGTGCATATGCCTCTAAAGTTGGGTTTTCAAGAGACAAAAGAAACACAAACAAGAAACATGGGTACTCACCATGTTCTTATAATACCAGCTAAGGTAAGAGATCTGTGTCTTTTTCTGTGTCACTTCTTATATCCCTTAAACAAACAATGTCATTCCTTTTCCTGCATGTGCCTTGTGCAAGACCTAGGAATTGCATCATTGCTCCCATTTAGTGTTGCTAGTTGGTTACTTAGGGGCGCACACTGTAATGTGAAAAATAATGGGATAAAGATGAAGCTGATCTGCTGCTTTCTTTCTTACAGTGGGCTTTGACGTATGCTGAGATCAGAGAGCAAGATGCATGCTGCATCATGGGACCAAGGATCTTATGAGGATATTTGGTATCTTTAAAATATACCATCTGCATGTGATTTAAGTCACTCTCCAAGGTGCAGCCCTTCTGCTTACTTATTCTGTGTTTTTTATTGAAAGGCTGACTTGTATGTGCAAGCATCAGTGTGTGGAAACAGTGATGACTTAAGGGCTATTGTCTAGAGACTTCTAAGGGGTTTTTGCAGCCTGTACAAGTCCCCTTTTTCCTTCATGGTCCAACTAGAAGTGCTTAGATTTTTAGTTTCAGAAGTTTCTGCTTTGATGCTGGTGGTGACTGTGCATCCATCGCCATCATGCACACTGGATGTGTAACATTTAAAGGGATTGAACTTTGACAATACTGTTTCCTTAGGTCTCACAATGGTGTATATAAAACACCATATATAGTATGAACTATTTTGTACCTTATATAGTCTGGTATATTGAAAAAAACCTGACACACTGCTAAGTAAATATTTTGTAGAATTTTTACAAAACTGGATCAAAAGTTGCATTTGCATCTTTTGCATCTTCCTTCCTTTTTTTTTTTTTTTTTTTTTTTTGGTGCATGTGTGAATAAAAGTATACAATTTTTTTCTTAAATATTTTCTGCTTTCTACATTGAGAGATCCTTCGGTTAGTGAAATTTCTTCAACATTTTTTCTAAACTCACCTTCAAAAATGAAGAGACACAAGACTTTGCATTTTGGGTCTGTTAATAGAACAAGAAACTATGTCAATGGAAACTAATTCAAGAAAAAAACCTGGTGCTCAGAACATAAATAGGACTTAGAAATGCAGTTCCTAGAACTACCAGCCTGCTTCAGTATCATAATACAATACAGTGATTATAATTACTACCTAGCTATAACTGTATCTTTTCATTAATTACCTTTTCTCACAGACATGTAGGCTCACACATTGATGCATTAAGATTCAGGCCAGTCATGTTTTTTAATATTCTTTTTCAGGCCTTGGTATCTTTGTGTGTATTTGCTCAAAAGAGAAGCCAAGATGAACCATTTACTTTCTCTGTATTTACCAAAATTTATTAAATTAGTGGTGCAAAGAACACTTACTTCACACCTGCACATCAGACCCACTTCAAGTAATATTCTAGAACCATTCCTGCTACTCCTTCTTGCCTTGTATATTAATTTTAAATATCTTCTTATAGTTCCTCTCTATATGAAACTGTTTAAAATAAAGGAAGGAAAGAACTCTGGAGGTTACAGGAGCACTCCAGAATAGCTTTCTCTGCCTCAAGTCTCCAATTGGAGAAATTATTTCTCATTAATGACTCAATTCTCACTGAATTTTTGAAACATTTCACCATGGAACTGAAAAGAGCTACTTTACAAGGAGAGGAACTGCGTCCTTGCCATGTAGTGGACAGGTGAATTACATTCAGCCATTTCTTTCCTCTTTTCTTCTAACTGCAGTCTGCAAGTCCTCTTTCAGCAATATTATCCCAGAGGACAGAAAAAAAAATCCCTGAAATGTTTGTTAGATAAAAGGCATTCTTTAAGAAAAGAAAATATATTAATTTGAATACTGTTACTTAGGCAACGTCAGAGATTCTGCACAGTTTATCACTTACTAAGAAGGAAAATTGCTCCAGGTACATGTAAATCTAGTTCATGTAATTTCTTTCTGCTCTTGGAAAGCTACCAGTTAATCCCAGACCACCTGGTCAGGCTCTCTCTTGTTTTTGAACCTAACAACTTAGTTAAACATCTGGCCCAGCTGAGAAAAAATTAGGAAAAAAAGGTCTAGCTGGGTCGCTTTCTCTCTTCATAAATAAGAGTAAAGTCAGGCATTCCTTAACTATTTCACCTGTGATTTGGATTTCATTTTTCTTTTGAGAGAACAGACGCGTTGGGATGTTGACTTTAAAATCCCTTCCCTATGTTGATATTTATAAACCACAGAGGGTGGAGGTTAAGCTCTGGCTCTGTTTTCAACGGCTTCTCTCATCAGCCAAGGTCAGGAGCTGAGCTCCTGAGGGACCTTGGGTTCATGGTTTTATTGCCAATGAGTAATGCCTTGAAACTGCATCCAGTTCTGCACTTCAGAAGTTTATGTGGTGCTGTTTTTAGTATCTTGATTAAAACTTAGTAGTAAACATAAAGCAACTCTCCTGTCACTATATATTTTCAAGTTTTATTATTTTTTCACCACTCCTCTTTATGATCAGAGTAATAAATGCACCTATACAGGTTTTTCCCTGACATTTTATGCTTCTGACTCCACAAATAAAATCTGCTATAGAAATGCTGAAACAATGTTTCAGGCAGTCAAATAAGCAGAATGACCTTATTAAATTGGTGTTTTTCAATATTAAAACTAAGACTTTTTAGATAAAATATGCAATTCACCAGTTTTGTGTTCAGATTCTTTTTTTCTTTTTCCTTTTTCCCTTTTTTGTTTTTTCATTCAGTAAAGGAAAACCCAGAATTGCTCACCTCCACCTGCAAATAAATGTGGAAGGAAGCAGCCTGGACAGATTTACCCTTACAGAACATAATTATGATAATAGCTACACATATATTTATTTAAGATTACCCCTATTCTTGGCATTTTCTTAAAGATTTGTGGAACTCTTAGCATTTTTTCTTCCTTATTTTTTTTCTCCTGGTAGTGCAGTGTGATGATCAGGTTCAGTGTCTAATGAGGCAGCCATTCCGAACACGTAGAGACAAAGAAGAGGTTTCCCTGGCAACGAGGACCATGCCAGAGCTCTCAGAACAGTTATTTCCCCTGTATTCAGGTTCCTTTTCTGTTTAGGATGCCTATTAGTGTGAGTTCACAGGCAAGGCCTGGCAAGCTTTTCAGAGATTACAGCTCCTAAATATACATAACAAAATACAGCTAAGGCTATGATTTATGAGTAAACTAAAAAGTGGTAAGCTGACACGTATTTTTTTCATTTTTATCTTTTTTGATAGATTCTAAAAACAATGATGACTACAAGTTCATTACGTATGTATAAAGCTATTAAATACTGCCCATATCTCTTTAGAACTTCACTGGTCTCAGCAAAATTTGTGTGAGTTCACTGAATTCTGAGCCATATTTCTGCTGTCACTAGAATAAGCATTGATCAAGGTTTTAGATCTGAAACACACATGAATTTAAGCACATAGAGATGTGATGAAATATGTAGAAATGTATTTAATATAACTTGAATTTAAATCTCTTTCAATGTAGAGAAAAATTACAGTAATAAAGTATTGAAATATTAGATATTTTTTACTATTTAAAAGTCAAATGAAATTACAATTAAATTAAATTCTTTAGTTCAAATCTTTACTTGCATCTGAAATGTATAAGCCTTTTATGATGAAGACTTCTGAAATCAGATTAAGAGATGAGCTTTTCCACATCCTTACAAGTTTTTGACAGAACTGAGAAGATTACTACACAGCCCAGCCCAAAGCTTGGTCAGTATCCTGAAATCATTCAGGCAGGGATCCAACTCAGCTGAGAGTTTTGATCTGGAAAGTGTTTTCAAAGTGAACTTTCTCACACACCTCAAACATACAACAGCAATTGCTACTTCATGTACATCAGAAGCACTAATCTCATGTCCATGATACCCACTGGAGAGATGGAATTAAATAGTCCAGGTTGGAAGGGACCTACAAAAATCAGCTAGTCAATCTGATAAAAACAGCTATTTAATTCCACCCTCATCAAGCAAGAATTCAAATCAACCAGCTAGCTATCTTGCTCTTCCTTCCTTCCTTCCTTCCTTCCTTCCTTCCTTCCTTCCTTCCTTCCTTCCTTCCTTCCTTCCTTCCTTCCTTCCTTCCCTCTCTCCCTCCCTCTCTTTCCTTTCTTTCCTTTCTTTCATTTTCTCCCTTCCTTCCCCCTTTGCCTTCTGTCCTTCCTTCTCTCCTCTTGTCCTAATACATACTACATCACTGTATGAAGCAATGGTCAAGCAAATGTATGAATATTCTGAGGCAATAGAAAGGACTGAAGGACTGTTTCTGGACAGAACTGCAACTAGCTAACTTTTACTGCAGTCATCATTTCATCTGTCAGTAGCTGAACTTTTAAATCATTTATCCAGCTCATTAAGAAAAAAAAAATATATATATATATATGTCTACACAGACACACACACACACATATATCCAGAGCACTTTAAAGTTCTCCAAGCTAAAATTCAAGCATTAGGATCCCAAGAGGAAAAAACCTCCCTACAGCCTTGAGTAAAGAACCTAAAAGGCAGAACTTAATCTCTCTCTCTTCATTATTCACTATTGATGATCTGTAGGAAGCTACACAGTGTCTGTGCATACTGAGTGGAGTCCTGCATATTTAGAGAGGACCCTAGGCAGTTGCTTCTTCTGGGATGTTAAACAGACATCCAACTAACTAACTAATAACATGTCAACTAACTCCTCATGTCTGTGAGACAGGAAGGTTTTCTAGCTGTCCTGGAATAAACAGGAGCCTTAAAAACAAGCTCTGCAAAGTCCCTTGTATCAGACACTAACCAAATCGCTTGTCACAAGTTCAGCTGGGATTGATAGGCCTGGGAAGAGATTGCTTGACTCTTCTTTATATCCTGTCTCATATTCAATTCCATTATATGTAAGGTAAGGCAGTTGCAAAATAGTGAGAAACTAAGAAAAATAAAAAATGAGAAGTAGGAGTAAAAATAAATTAAAAAGTGGGATCTTGCTTTGAGCCTGTAAGGAAGATATTTTCATTTTTTTCTCCTGTGAATATTGCAAAGGAAACTCATTTCAGCTTTGTAAGACCACAACAATTGCTTCAGACACAAAATGAATCAAGCCTCTTGTTGGATTATGTGGGTGGTATTTCCACTCTTCCCTAGTGGGATAATTCACAGCCTGCAGCTGTGGCATGAAAACTTAAATATTTTTTCTCTTTCTGTCTGGATTTAAAAGGAAGGACCTGCATTCATTTGCTGTTTTAAAGAAAAAGGAAAAAGAAATTGAAGGCCCATTAAAGATTAGTAGTGTGAAACAGAGCAGTCATAAAACAAAACTGCATAAACAAAGAAGGAATTAATTTGCATTTTTTTAAGCAGCTATAGTCTAGTCTTTGAAAGTGAATGAGAAGATATGTACTTGCCCAGGTGTATTAATAACAAGATAATGGTAGTAAACAACCCTTTATGTACTGTTAAGAATCATGACTCTTTACTTACCTGCTCTTAAAGAATTGTTTTCCTTTTATACAACAAAATTTTTAGTATTATTATTACCTATGAAAGCAATTTTCTTGGATTCTTTGTGTGCAATTCAAAGAAATTAGATAATACATAAACTATACATTTGCTATTCTATTTGCTAAAAACTCTTTGCAAATTCCCAGCAGAACTTAATTTCCAAGTACATTTTTATTAGTCTAGGAATATCTTCTCC